AGGAAGCCGGGAGAAATTTCTACACCCTGTCAATGAAGTTCGGAATGTGATCTGAGGACACTGCCTTTCTCCACGCCCTCTCTCGTCAGCGTCGTGAGCACAGGAACCGGGAGTTAAGGAATGAGCCCTTCAGGCAAGTTGAAAGACACTTTATGTCCGTTAACTGATGATATCAAAGGCTTTGCCTTTTGCATGACCTTGTTTTCTTGGTAACTCCACACTTCTGGTGATTCATTTTTACTGCCTTTTGTGAAACTGTGAGTCCATGACAGATTGGGGAACGGTGGGGTCCTTCCCCAGAGGCAGTTTGAGCTCTGGCAGTGCGACTCTGGAAGCCACTGGGGAGCTTCTAGGACAGGAGGGACATGGTCAGCGTTGGTTCTAACAGGGTCCCTGTGAAGGCTGCTTTGAGAATGGGCTGAAAGCTGGCAAGAGGACGGGATCCCAGTCAGGAACTGACCTCAATAATCCAGAGAGGGAAGATGGGGAGGGTTTAAAAGTGGTTTGATTCTGGATGTAACTTGAACGTCATGGACAGACAGTGTTTGGACGGCTGCCCAAGTCCCTTCCCTCAAAAAACCCCACTCTACCTGCTTCCGAAACTCTCCCTGGTCTTCTGCAGGCTGGTCCCTCGCTCCACAAAGAGTCAGGGAACAGAAGTGCTGAGTTTCTCTTGAGTGGGTACAGGAGGCTCCCTCCCGGCCAGATTTTCAAACCAGGAGCCTCTCACCATTGAAACCCCTTCCTCTCCCTTAGTCCTCATAAGTCTATCAAACATCATGTGTTTCTCAACATAAAATAAGCACCAGGCTCTCCCTTCCCGCTATAAGGATCCTAGTCTCAGGCCCTGTGGTCTCTTTGCTGGACTTGTAGCCCCTCCGCTGGGGTCCCGGGGCCGCTCTGACTCACTGGCGCAGCAGGAGAGAACATGAGCCTGTTTTCTCCTACACTTGCAATCCCCCAAATCTTTGAAAATTAGCAAATTCGTATGAGACTCACTTATGACACCACTTGGCCAGGGTTTCTATGAGATGAATGTTAACCTTCACACTCCTACTTAGTGTAAGTGTCATTAGAGGGCACTGCAGAGACGTCGGTGTGCTCCAGGAGGGCCTCCCGCCCGGGCCCCGGGGAATACGCTCTGAGGCAGTAGGTATCAGAGGGCTGGAGCAGGAAGGTGCCGTCCGGGATCTGTCAGCGGCAGGGTTTATCCCATCACGCCTTTAATTGCATTACTGACCCCAGTCCCTTTATGAAAGGGAGGAGCCTTGGGAAAGCACAGCAGAGGAACCAGTGCAGCCAGGCAGTCGGCAGCTCAGCCTCCGGTCCAGGATTACCCAGTTGGAAGTCCAGCCTTCTCAAGGAGGTCGGTTTCTGGAAAGAAAGGAAAATTTCTAATCACGTGTGTCTGTAGGTGAGAGTGCATGCATGAGTATACAGGCTTAGCTATGAGGAGAAAGTGCCTACTTGCAAAGATTAGGGGTCTCTCAGGCATGGGGCGGGTATGTTGTCGCTACTGCTCTAGCTGTGCAAAATCTGGCCCGTTTGCAGGAGACATCTCCTGGGAAAGCCTGTCTGTATGGCTGTGTTGTCTGGTTAATTGTATGTTTCTAGGAATTCATTTTTATGGCATCTTGGGAAAGTATTGGTCCATGGCCGACCTGGGTACAGGTAGAAGTTGACATTGAAAGCGTCAATATTGGATATTTAGCCAACTTCTACTGAGTGCTTACCGTGTGCCAGCAAATAAATGTTAACTCTGAGCTGCCATGGTAACTCTGGGAGCTGGTGTCATTGGAGATCAGAGCCCCCATGACACAGATGGATACCTGACGAGTAATGCAGCTCTGTAAACACTGGACTCCAGATTAAGGAGCCTGACAGTCTGGGGTTTTTTGTTTGTTTGTTTGTTTTATTTTGTTTTTTACTGAGATGTAGTTGACATACAAAATTCTACTAGCTTCAGTTGTACAATGTAATGATTCTGTATTTGTATGTATTGCAAAGTGATCACCACACTAAGTCTAGTTAACATCTGTTAGCACACATAGTTACAAAATTTTGTTTTCTTGTGATAGGAAATTTTATTTTGCAGCCTGGCCTTAAAATTCCAGCTGTGTCTGTGTGGGATTGAATGCATGTCCGCAAGTGTGACCACCTGCGCTGTGTGTGCCTGGCGGCCGTCTGGAAAGAAAGTTTGTGGGGAGATTGAGAAGAAGGGCAGGGCATGGATCCCACAGGAGAGACACAGAGACAGATGGCAGCGTACCTGGATATAAGGATGGGCCACAACATCTAAAACGGAGCTGGAGGGGTGAGAAGGTGGGCTGGCGAGGTCTTGCATGACCAGGAAGGACTTGGTACTCCTCTGAGATCAAGGGAGATCAGTGTAGGGAGTAAAGTGGAGTGTGACCTAAACGGATTAGCATTTTATAAAGGCTGACTGGAAGCTTTGTGATAAATGGATTAGGGAAAGACAAAAGTGTGTTCAAGTTTATCTAGGGTTTTTTTTCTTTCCACTCATCTTTTCCCCAATAAATGATGAGGTCAGGGTAGCTAATCTGATCTGATGGCCACTGTGAGGTTGACACAAAGCTGCCATGACACTGACTAAACAGAAACTAATTAGGTCTTTGTGTACCCACGGATCAATACCACCCAATACCCACATTTTCCAATTTTGTGGCATGAAACTTGCTTTTAAAAAAAGCTGGTGTGGCTCAGTGGATTGAGTGCCAGCCGGTGAACTCAAGGGTCAATGGTTCGATTCCCAGTATAAGATACATGTCTGGGTTACAGGCCAGGTCTGCAGCAAGGGGCACGCGAAATGCAACCGTACATTGATGTTTCTCTCCCTCTCTTTCTCCCTCCCTTCCCCTCTCTAAAAATAAATAAATAAAATATTTTTTGAAGAATACAGATCTTCGAAATGTTAACTAAATATGAAATGGAAAAAGGACACAAAAATAGAGAAATGATATAGAGAAGGGATTAAATCTTTTATCCATGTGACATCACAAATGGTATGCCTACTGTTGCCCAGGTAACGTGATCTGTGGTCAGAAATCAATATGGAGCAATACAAACTCAATTTCATCTCTGCTGGGTCCTACACACCCAGGGGAAAAGATCAGGGATTAAAAACAGAGGGACACCAAACTGTAACTTTGATGAATGCAGTTAAGCAAGGAGAAATGTTTTTCACAAGGAAGGGTAATTGATGGTGGAGAAAAAGAAAATCAGTGAAGAAAAATTTCCTATGGAATGTGTCCCTGGACTGACACAGCAGGGGCAGCTGGTCGTGCAGGCATCCATGTTTGATGTAGGCATTTCCAACACAGTAGGAGACTGTTTGTATGGATTCTGGCCTGTCTCTTTCATTTCATTCACTTTGTTTTTCAACTTTTCTTCATATTTTGTTTTCCTATAATAAATGAAAGTATATTTGTACAAGATCATTGCCTTCATTCAATCACATCATGTCCAGTTGCAAGTTAAGACCCCATTTAGTATTTTCAATTGAATAGTTTTTAAATGAAAAAAAACATAACAGAAACAAACTCTGCATGGGTGCAGAGAACAAACTTACGGTCACCAGATGGAAGGGAGTTGAGGGACGGGTGAAAAAGATGATGGGATTAAGAAGTAAAATTGGACAGTTACAAAATACCCCTATTGTGCTGTGTATAAGGTATAATGTTTTGCCCAAATTTCTGAGGGAAAAATAAGGCTGCGCATTACACATGGGTAGTACTAATTCTGTATATCTATAAATGATTTTAATTCTATTATTTATTCTTATGTGTTAAAAGTGTAACTCTAGAAAGCAAGAATGATATCTGTATGCAAAATAATACCCTGGAATACAATGATCGGTTTTGTGTCTAAAGGTAAATAAAGAAATAATTGAATTAAAAAAATTAAAACAAAAGATTTTTTTCCTGAAAGTTTGGGCCAAAAACATGGATGGGCATTATACATGGCAAAATACAGTAGTCACAGGGATGTAAAGTATAGCATATGGAATACAGTCAATAATACTGTAATAACTATGTATAGAACCTGGTGGGGTATTTGACTTACCCAGGGAATCACTTCCTAAGATATAAAAATGCCTAATCACTATGCTGTACACCTGAAATTAGTGTAATATTGAATGTCAACTGTCATTGAAAAAGAAAATTTTAAAAATAAAATAAAATTAAATATTTTTATTGAAGTATAAAGCACATAACTAAGAATTTAAAAGGTAAAGTAGATTTTTATGGAGGAACACTCCTATGTAACTACCTCTGAGGTCAGAGGTAGACAATTGCCAGCTGAAAAACAGGAAGTACAGCATCTCCCAATCTCAAGGTGAAAACTTTTATGCATAATTTCTGCTGAATTTTGTATACTTGTTCACATCAATAAAGTTCTCTTTATTTCTTGTTTACTAAGTGTCTTTCAGTAATGAGCACTGACTTTTATTAAACATTTTAAATTTAAGATTTAAATGTATCTCAGCAGATGATTATAGTGTTTTTTTTTTCAATATTCCATTAATGTGGTAGGTTACATTGATTTTTAAATTTTGACTCTTCATTTAGAAAGTAAACCCTGGATTTTATTTACAAGTAATTTGCTTTTGATTTTTACACCTACATTCATGACAAATTGTTCTGTGGAGTTCCTTTCTTTAATGTATTGACAAGGTTTTGTTATCAGGGAGGTGCTGAACTCCTTAACCAAAAGGGAAGTGTTCCTACTTTCTTTTTTAATTCTAGGATAGTTTACATAAAATTAGAATTCTTTCTTTCTTAAATGTCTAGTAGAATTCATCCATGAGTTTATCTGGACCTGAACTTTTTTGTATGCCAGTGCTGTAATTAATTATACATCCTTTCTATCTCTAGCTTGCAATGTTTAAGCATCTTCCGGTTATTAAAACAAATCCCTGGAGAAATAACTGAGCAGAGCTTGAACTCCTGAAGTTTAGTCTCTGAAAATTCATGTTAAGAATGGCTTTGGATCTCAGAATCTGGTGTCAAGGTGAACCATCCAGGAATGATCATGAGTCAGAAAACCTAGAGCTCAAACCTAGCCAAGGACCTGCCATCCAGCAGGGAGAAGGGATCTCCAGGTTTCCGGGCACTGAGCTGAGCTTATTTCAAAACAGCAATAACTTGTGTGCAAGGCAGGAACTACAAAGGCTCTATAAGTCATTTCACACATGGCTGCAGCCAGAACAACACAGCAAGGATGAAATTATTTCTTGTTTGGTGCTGGAACAGTTTATGATCAATAGGCACTGCAGTGGCAGGTCCGTGCTGAAGGAGAAATGGGAAGCAAGTGGCAGAAACCTGGAGACATTCATGGAAGGCCTGAGTGATGACTTCATGGAGCCCCCTGGCCTGGTGAGTGGAGGGTTCTGATGTGTGGGGTGAGGGGCTGAGGGGAAAAAAAGGGAAAAAAATCCATTGGGGGTGCCCAGAAGTAGAGAAAGAAGAGTTACGGTAGACTCAGTTGTTAGTCCTCACTAAAGGGAATCTTTAGCATTCTAAGTAAATAAGGAAAAAACTCTATATTCATATATTCAATGAGACATATAAGAGCCCGCGTACTGATAGATTTAACTCATTTAAGCTGGTGAGTTGGTAAGAGGGTTCACTAACAAGTTCACAATTGAGCAGACACCTCAAGGATGAGGAGAAATGACTTAACGTGAGCTGGTTCATCCCTCAGAAAGACACATAAACAAGAAAGTACAAGGAATTTAAGGCCAGCAGAGATACAGGGCAGGACAGTGGGCACAGAAGCATGCAGCAGAGGTATTTTGGGAAAGCCCAATGAGGGTAGGTTTTCCACACAGGTGTCTGGCCGAACAGATCCATATGTGACAGTGATCAGACTTTGTTTACAGGTCCACGTCCACATGCAGGGACAGGAAGCCCTCTTTTCTGAGAATATGCCCTTAAGAGAAGTTATTGTTCACTTCAAGAAACAGTTGTCAGCAGGGACCCCAACAGTGGCAAATGTGGGGACACCCTCCTGGACTCCTCAAGATGCTTCTCTGCAAAGACGACAAGGTGAGTGAGGGGTGTCCAGGGATCAGAGGAATGTTTTGTGTAAACTCTTTCTTGGATACATTTTCACTGGGTCATGTCTTTATATTCACAGGAGATGAAGATACAGAAAATGGTGGCAATATTTCTGTGAAAACTACTGAAGAAGATGACAATATTACTTGTCAAAGCCAACAAACACCTTTCTTACTCATTATCCAGGGAGAGAACTGTCCTGGGCCTGAAGGTGGAGATGCTCCTTTGGAGAATCCACTCAGCTCCAGAAGAGCAAGTCTAGGCACCTCCAGGTCCCAGAAAGGGTCCCAGAAAGGACCCTCTTATCAAGGTGTCCTCAAGGGAGTGGGACCAGCATTTCCCTCCAGGCTGCATCAAGTTGCCCCTGAGCCCATACCTACCCACCAGAGCAATGCTGGAAGCACCACCTGTGGGGGACACCAAGAAAGATTCCACAGAGCCCAAAGATCATACCAGTGTAAGAAGTGTCCCAGGATCTTTAGGTATTCCTCTTGGTTAAAAGTCCATCAGAGAAGACACAATAATGAGAGGACTTTTATTTGTGCTGTGTGTGACAAAGGCTTTGTCCAGGCCTCAGACCTACACGTGCATCAGAAGATTCACGTGGGAGAGAAGGCTTTCAGGTGCAGCATATGTGCCAAGTCCTTCAGCCACAGAACCAACCTTCAGGCTCATGAGAGAATCCACACAGGAGAGAAGCCCTATGTGTGTTCCGTGTGCCAGAGATGCTTCCGCCAGTCATCTACCTACCACCGCCACCTGAGGACACACCAGAGAACTGTCTTCAGATGTGTTTCCTCCATGCCCGAAGCTTCCTCCGGGTAATGCATAGGAAAATGTCTGAGAGTGTGTATATTTCCATTGTACTTCTCTATTTAGAACATACTTTATAACTTCTCAATCATATATTCCATTCATTCTCTCCCCCTCTAAAATGTTAAAGTTTAAGGAGAGCAGGGAATTTCTGTTTTGTTCACCAAAATATCTCGGGTGCCTGGAAAGTGTCTGATACATTTTAAATGACCAATAAATACCTGTTGAATAAATGAAAGTGTAATGTTTGTGTTGTTTACTTTTTAAAATCCAGGCATGTGTCCCATGTGAGAAGACAGTGAGCTCCAACGCCAGGACACAAACCTACCTGCTACCCAGTCCCCTGTCCACGCCCTTTATTTTCGTGCAGCCACAGGCACCCATGGGGAGGGGAGGTGGGAACATGGGAATAGGCCTTAGCCCATAAAAGCAAACCGTAATATTCAAATGATGTAGTTGTTTTTTTAATCCACTGGAAATATCAATAGCTAAGCAGGACATAAATATGACTGGTGACTGAAAGTTGCAGAATGTTCTTTTCTGAACAGATATCATAAAAATCCAATGTTTTCCATTCATTTGTTTTAAAGATGGCAGGTATAGGGGGTGAAGGAACTTATTTGCCCAACCAGTATGAAAAGGCATTTTGGAGAGAAAGAAAAGATTCTCTGCAGCTTGGAGGCAAAAGCACATGTGCTGGTTATTTGGAATCCAACTGTGATCTGGTGTCCACTAGGAACTGGGGCTCAGTCCCACTGAGAAACTGGAAATTGCCATGTAGGAATGGCTTAAATCATGGAAGAGGGCAATCTGCAGGGTAAATTGTGACATTTCTCTGTTTTTCTCTCTGCATTCATAAAAGGGAAGACTATCAGGTTGCAGATAAGGCTCCACTGTGTGGAGAAGCTGCCCTCCTTCTGGGGCTGTATCCCAGTGCTTTGCATTATGAATGCTCTTTATTTTTTTTCGTTACTTTTTTCCCTTTTATTGATTCCAGAGAGAAGGAAAGGATGGAAGAAAAAGAGAAGAGAAACAAATAGCAACTGGTTGCTTGCATGCTCCATGACTGGGAAACATGCCCACAGCCCTGGTAGTGCCCTGGCTGGGAAACAAACAGGTGACCTTTAGCGTTGCAGGGTGATGCCCAGCCAACTAAGCCACACCGATCAGGTTTTCCCATTTTTAAAATTTATTTATTTTCTTATTGAATTTATTGGGGTGACTTTGGTTAATAAAATTATATAGGTTTCAGCTGTACAATTCTACAATACACCATCCGTGTATTTCACCTGTGCTCTGCCCAAGAACACGTCAGTCACTATCCCACACCCAAACAGAATTTGATGAACTGCTTTCAGTTTGAGAAATATGATAGATTCCTCAAGGAACTGACTATATCTTAGAATATTGGGTAGGACATATTAAATGGATAAGCAATGTTGTTCTATAGATTGGACACTGTTACTGAGGATACAGGCAGGAGAGATAATCAGCAGTAGACATAACTCTTGGTCCTCCTTGAGGGCAACTATGTTGCAGCCTCTCTAGGCTGGGCAGGTCCACTCGGGGCTCAGGTAGACAGAAGATGTATGGAGCCATGTGGGTGCTTCACAAGCCTTTATTCAGGAGAGTCACACAGGCCACAAGCCCGTGTCTAAGTTGGCACCCCAACTTCCCACCTCGTCCAAAGCTCCTACCCCTTAAGTACTAACCCCAACAAAGCAGACTGCAGGCCAGAAAGTGAAGTAACTAGCATGAACTGCGCACGTGAGCCTACTCCAGGCTACGGGGCAGTTTATTGCACCCAAGCTCAAGGCAGTGAGACCCAGTCTCAAGGCTGTGAGAACACTGTGTTATCAGACTCCTTCAAGGGTGTGAGAAGCTGCTCCCTCCAGTTACCCATGCATCTGGGCAAGGGAACCAGACTGCCTCCATTTATCCTACAGCAACCTATATCCCTCTTTTTCTTCTCAATTATGGTCCAGACTGAAGATACAGAGAGTTACAAAATCCACTATCTCTTCTGACTCCATTCATTAAAATTGGCAGCAAATTGTTAACACATTCCAGCTAAGAGTAGATGCATTTTATGTCGGAATGAGAATATATGTCCATTTGAATTTGTAGTCTTTAAGAATAATTGAAGGGAAGCATCAAGTTAAGGAACATGTATAAAGGACCCATGGACAAAGCCAAAGCGGGGAAGGATTGAGGGAGGGAGGTGGGGGGGGGGCAGGTGAAAGTGGTGGCGGGAAGGTGGAGAAAAATGTATTTGAACAAAAAATAAAAATTAAAAAAATAAATAAATAGGGAAAAAAAAGAATAATTGAAATAATGCTTTTCACCTCAGAGAGCATCCTGAGATTCCGAGAATGTGAAATAATATCTCCAAACAAGTAAGGGTTGTGTTGCAGAAAACTGCCAGAAACCTGCCAAGAGCCCCTGAAACCCTAAGTTGTTATTTCCAAGCATCATTCGCAGTGGCACAACACATTAACACATTTTTCTTTCTTTCTTTTCTTTCTTTTCTTCCTTCCTTTCTCTCTCTCTCTCTCTCTCTTTCTTTCTTTCTTTCTCTCTTTCTTTCTTTCTTTCTTTCTTTCTTTCTTTCTTTCTTTCTTTCTTTCTTTCTTTCTTTCTTTCTTTCCTTCCTTCTTTCTTTCTTTTCAGTTTTCACATTTTTATTGTGGGCCATAGGGGAGGGGGGATGTCCTTCCAGTCAATGGAGGTATTCAGTTTCTTCAGCCACTCCAGGATTGGGCCTTGGGGGTCCTGGAGTGGTTGGGCATGTTGGGCATGTTCCCATCATCTCGAATGGGCACTGGGTAGTGGTAGGGTGTGACCTGGTTGATCACGGCAGCATACTTGGTGTAGGGGCTGAAGAAGGGCAGAATTACAGCAAGGCTCGCAATGGTGAGAGATGCAACCAGCACTGGCTCCTTGGCCCAGGCATTCTTGAAAAAGGAGGCAAGTCTCCCGGCCATCAAATCAACACATTTTTCAAAAGTGTTTTTATTTATTGATGAGAGTCAGTCCAGAGAAGTGTGTGGTGACAAGAGTCCCTGGAGAAGTCATCCCCACTGTTGAGGGGCCTTTTGAGGATTGACTATGCACAACGGCAGGCAGGCGAAGTGAGGCCTCCGAGCCTCCCATCCTCCACTCCACCCACAGAATCTGTTGGTGCCTGCCAGCCACGCTGAAACACCAGCTGAGGTGAGTGAACATCCCCCTGGCCTTCCCAGCTCACCGCACTGAGCCCTGCAACCCAGGTGTGAGGCACCCATCACATCTTGCAGCCCATGCTCCAGTGTCTGGGACCGTGAGATGCACTGAAGTCTTGACCATTCCCTTTTCCCCCACAAACCCCACCAGCATTAGGCTTTATGTTCTTTAAATGATCATTTCATTTCCTTACATGAGGAAATGATTAGGCCCTCAGGTCTCCACACAGGAGGTAAATGCTAACACTCCCAATGACAGAAATTTTAGAGCTGGATCTTTATAGACAGGAGCACAACAGGCTCACAACTAAACACACCAAAGTTCACCATGGTTGGGTAATACAGTTGGTTAGAGCATTGCCCTGATACCCCAAGGTTGTGGATTCAGTTCTAAGTCAGAGCACATACAAGGAACAATAAATGTATAAACAAGTGGAACAACAAATCTATGTTTCTCTCTCCCTTTCTCTTTCCCTCTCTATCTCTAAAGTCAATTTTATGGCCTTGGCCAGGTAGATCAGTTTGTTAGAGCATCATCGCTATACAGTGAGGTTGCAGGTCAATCCCTGGTCAGGGCACACATAAGGAGCAACCAATGAGTGCATAAATAAATAGAACAACAAATTCATGTTTCTCTCTCTCAAAACAAATCAATAAACAAAACAGTTTCAAAAAATAATGAAATGACTTTAAAATCATTAAATACACCAAAATCAAACACGCATGTCAGCCCCTCTGCTGAGACCCCTGGTAATTCAGCAGCCGCACATAATTGCATCTCATTGCTGGGCATGTGTCTGCAGAATGAAGTTTTTAGAGTGAGAGAAAATGAAAAGATTTCACAGAAACTATAACTGAGGAGAGGTGTCATGTAGCTCTAAAGCTGCATGGATGGGCAAATGGATGGGATGTATCAGGTATTCTTGGGAATCATCATTTCTCATTATATACAAAATGTATTTGTGTTCCAATCCCAGAAAACGTGAGACAGAGGTTTCTGTTTGTCTTTTCTACTAATTTTAGTGATATAGGTCAATGAATCTGATACCCTTCTACAAAATAAACTGAGTAGATGACATTTGCAGTCAGAAGAGCAGGTGCCAGGGCAACACCTGTGCAGGTGTCGAAAGGGGCATCTGATCCTGAGATAAAGGTTTGGGACACCATGATGTCATCTCCTTGGTATAAAATGATTATCATGTCACCTTTAATTTCTGTGGCAATACCTGCATGGGGAGTTCAGATGATCTTTTGAAAACATTTGCAGATTGTACAGATTACTAAATTACTGAAATAAGTTAATATTGAATTATAAAGTTTTGTATTGAAAACTGCAGATAGCTAGGGAACAGCTTACCTGTGAAAATGTTTTTTGGTGTTTTTGTTTGTTTGTTTGTTTTGAATCTTAGGGAACATAGAGCAGGCCAGAAAAATGCTGGGATGTAATAACTGAGAGAATGAAACAGCTCCCTGTTATCCAGGATTACTAGTTATTTGAAAGTTTGTCTCCAAATGTGATTCCTTTCCAGTTTACTGGAATAGAAAGTACAGCAGCATGTGAGATAGAAAGAATAGCTGAGTTGTTCAAATGAGCAGAAATATGTGATGTCATTCAGTGTCTTATGTCAAAAATTATTGAGCACAACTGTTGGGCACTTTGGTAGCTACACTGGACCTTCATTGTACAAAACACAGAACCTACCTTCTAATGTAGAGACAACATTACATAAAACCAAGTTATTACATAGTTTATTAATGATAAGTTCCATGGAAAATCGAAAAGAGCAGGTA